TGGCTGAGCTGATAAGGCCGAGGTGGTGCTCTCTGTTTAAAATGTTGCCATGAGAATAGAGCACATGCTGTTACAAAACAGCCTCCATCCTAGGATTATAGCGGACTTGAAAAATGAGCCCTTAGTTGTCAGGCATTTCAGATGTGCATTAAACTGCAAATCTCATTACCTTCACAGGAGATGTGGGTGCACAGCCCACTGAAAACTAGGCCAGCAATGCTTAAATAAGGAGGAAAGAGAAGAGTCCAACACAAGAAAGTGAAAATGCTTAATGTAATCCAGCAATAGAAGCATTGGGAGTAGACTCTTTAATCATGCAGTGCAGGGAAGGGAGATATTTAATTGCAACTCTTACCTTTTCCAGGAGGTTTTCAGTAGTTTTCAGTTCTTCCAACTGCTCTGTTCTCCCTCACGTTTCTGCTCCTGTTATTTTTGATTTGATCACTCTTCCCTGAGACACCTTTCTGCTTCCTATCACTCTTCCTTGCTCAGCTGTCCTGGAATTGTCAGGTCCCAGAATCCAGTCTCCACCTCGCTGCAGGGACAGGCCATCGTTGTCGTCACGTGAATGTAGAATATTATACCCCATCATACCAGATGGCATCATTTAACCTGCATACGTGAGGAGCCTGCTTTTCTGTTGCTGTGGGAACCATAGGTTAATTTTCTTGCATATTTTTCTTGTGTTTTAAGAGATTTCAGTCAGTGTTGCACTAACAGCCGCCTTTGCAAATCTGTTCCATGGATGGCTTTTTGGAGCATGCTGTGAAATGCAGTTAGCTGGGCAAATTGTTAAAAGTAGACCTTACTTCAAATGCACTTGGAACAGGGAGACAAAAGGCACGCTCTCAGGAGGTTGTCTTGTTTTCTGTCTAGGAAAATACAGCTGCTCTGATATATGCTACTACATTATGCTGTTATTTTAAGTTGAAGGAGTCCTCGGTTTACATATACTAGCAAAATAAGGGCTAAAATGAATTTGAGATGATACAAAGTCAGAAAAATGCCAGATGCTTGGTGATTCCTGTCAGCACCACAGTGCAGGGAAATGATGCTGTCTTTGGGAGGCCCAGTATGGGATGAAGTACTTCCCGTATCTTCAGACTGATACACTGATTGTCACTGATGTGCTCTCGGGGTTGCTCAGTCTGCATCCAGAAGTATGCTTTCCACAACGAGGAGTCAGAGGGAGAGAGACTTGATAGAGATGCAGGGGCACAAACTCTGCTTTCTGGTTAGAAAATAATCCTGTGTGAAACAAAATAACCCCTCATCACGACCTGTTTGAAGATATGGCTAGTGATCTTGCTAAAGCATGTGCAGTATTCAGTTTTGCCTCAATGTGGAGTATTTCAAGGATTTTGTCTTTTAAATTTCTTGGAACATTTTTGGTATCTTCTGTTGAAACCATCCTTGCTGAAGAAGAACAGTTGTACTTTAAACTGTGGATGTTGTCTGAATAATCAACGAGATGAAAACCTAACCATTTTAAACAGTAAACCCCTTGTTACAGGGAGGAGTAATTATGAATGGCTTCACAAATTTTCCTCTTAGAAACTTGGGGTTTGGTGGTTCCAGACTTCGTGATGCTAATGTCTTGTGTTTCCAGTCTGTTCAGGACTGAGTTTCTGTCCATGGGTGATGTCAGTTGAAGAGGTATCAGTCCTCCTACAGAAGCATAATCATTCACGTGCCATTGTTACCCAAAAGGGTTCACATCCTTCTAGCAGCACTGTGACTGACAGTTTCAATCTGAATACTTCCCAAACGAATGCATGTCCCTAGGGCTGTGGCTGACAGCCTGCCACCTGTTCAATCTGCCCTGGTCTTGGAACTTAAGGAGGGACTGTGTTTGTGTGGGAACCGTGTAGGAAGAATGACCTGCACCAGGAAGTGCTGTTGTATGAGGTGTACCTCACCTATGCAGGGTGCGGGTACGCTGCCGGTACCGGTGGCTCGGGTGAGGTGAAAACTGAGGCCCTAACCACTGCAGTCAAAAGGTTATACGAAATGTGAATAGGTGCATTCGTTTCTGCATCCTGCTGGATTTCTGAACTGGGTAACTTAATTGAAATCTGAGCAGAATATTCCTCAGGTAGCATCACCCAGTGGAATCTGTTGTTTAAGCCACAAACCTGCTAAAACTTCCCGCAGCGCTGCTAACTTGCTGGAGTGTAAAGGTACTGTAAATGTGGTTTGTAATTAGCTTTGGAGTCCTTTGCAATGAAATGTACGTTATAAATGTAAGATTGCCCTTATTACGTTTCTTATCTCTAACGCTTTGTTTTGTACAGCAGGATATGATCCTTCTTCTATGTCCGGGCTTTGGCCTCACACAGTAGGTGTAATATAATTGCTGAGGTGGGCGTTCTGGAAGGAGAATTGGATTTGGAGGCTTTTGCATGAAACTTGTCCAATGAGTCTGAGACGCCCAAGCACCATTAATTTTGGAGGTAAATGCCTCATAATACGTACTGCATAGATGGGGAAGAGATTTTCATTTGGTGAAGTATGATCAAAACCTAGCTGAAAGGATAGTTCTCACTGTTTACTAATGATGTTTGGACATTTTGAACTTAAAGGAACACCAACTTGAACTCGAGAAAAATTGGAGGGGTGGGGGGGCAGTCTGGCAGCTTCACTGTGTTAGTTTCCTGGTTTCCATTTCACACACACGCACTTCTGGTTTATTAAAACCAAGAGAGGCAAAAGTGAAAACTGGTTGGGATTGCAAGAGCAGTGACCAGACTGCCTGAAGTACTCGCTCATGCTGAAACAGACCAGTGGAAAGAAAACCTGTGACTTGTGATACACAAGTTCAGAGACACCTAATTAAAGTTGGATGTCCCTTTAAGTTACTGCCTGGAATCTGACGTTTCTTGCTTGAATCTCAGCTGAAATGGTTTTGAGATATTTTCTATCATTTGTCTATCAATCAGCCTGGCAGAGTGGGCTGGGATGTGTGTAAAGGGAGGGGAGGAACACTGTAGTGAACAACCATGAAAAGACTAAGCCAAAGGGGAGAAAAAACCCAACAACAAAACAAATGAAAGAAAATATAACAATTAGTCCCAAAAGAGTTGTTTTTTTACAATGACAGATTTTAAGTGTTAGTACTTGCTTTGGGCTGGGGTGGGCTGTGGGGAGGAGAGGAGAATGATTTGCATGAAATATGATTAACTTTAAATTTTATTAATGCTATTGTTATTGGAATAAAAACAGGTTACTGATAAAATTATAATGAAAATGTACGTTTAAAAAGTTAGTAAGTTAAGTTTGCTCTAGTATGCAACAGTAATGTAGAACGGGCACACAGCTGGTAAAGAAATTAAGACTATTTTAAAGCCTTACGGTGCCTGAGTTGCACTGAGGATGATCGTCCTGGATTCTCATTGCTCTCGGATTGTAATAACTGTTACTGACAACTGTTTGGTACTTAAAACCAGGCTGCCTGGTAGAGAGCTATCCTGCACTTCCAAAGGAAGTAATTTTTAGCATAATCTGAATTTTATGCACTAACTTCTTACCAAACTGCATGCATTTGTTTGATTATGCTGTTTCACACTGCTGCAGCCCTTTCCGTTTAGTATGGTTGTGGATATTAAGAAATTTGGGGTTGAATTGTTGGAATGAAAGCCTTGGGATCACGATACATACCTAACAAAGGCAATGGACTAGAGTAGCGGGTTTAAGTGTGCGGGGGGTATGTTAAAAAAAAAGGAACAGCTTTTAGAATAAGGGTTTGAAACATTGCTTTTTCTGTAGGAAAAAGATGGAGTATTGCATGCTGGGAACAAGTGCTTTCCATAAGGTAGCTAAATTTTAAAAGTACATTTGTTTCATTTTGTTTTAGGCTTTGCTTAAGTATTCTAATCTAGTAATTTTGTCCTTTCTGCAGTTTTCATTTTGAGCAGACCTCTGCAAAACTCTCTTCTAAACAAAAATTCAAAACCACACAAAAATCCCAAACCTGGGCCACAACTGCAGTTCGACATTTCTGAAATGTTGCTCAGTGTGTACAGAAGAGTATTTGAAGGATATTAGTATAAATTCTTTCTGTGGTCCGTCTTGTTTTCCGTTGTTTCAAAATGGCAGGTATTAGCCCCAGTAAATTTAAAGATGTGAACGTGTTGGAGGACCACAGAGGGGTGACCAAAAGTAGACCGATTTGTTAAAAGGTGGTCTTCATCCACCTCTTGAAAAACGAAACAAAAATACCCCAAACCAACAAACCCAAGAGCCCTGCTCACCAGGAATGTTGGGAGTAAACAGTCAAATTCCTTTTCCCTTTGTTCCTGTGAACAGCAAGACGTAACCTACTCGGAGGAAGTTTGAGTAGATGAGTCAGGACTGACTTCGTTAACTGCAGTTAAATGTTTTGGCCAGGTTTCCCAAGGAAACAAAGCTTACACAATTTTTCAGATTGTGGCTTGTCTCCTAATCCTCCCCTC